TAATAGTCTAATAGTTTCAATAGCATTCATAGCAAATTTATGGACAGATCATGGACTAGTGCTCTTCCTGCCCAGTGTATCTATCTGTATCTAGCAGAGAGAACTGACACCAAGTTGTAAAGATAAAACTTGGCCTGAACAGTTAAAATATGCTCATCTAGCTCTGCAGGTAAGCAAAACCACATTTTCTTTCAGCCTTTGATGAAAATCTATGAAATACAGCAAAGCTGGCAGGGAAGGATAAAGGAATAAGAAACTAGACATATAGACGAGAAGAACTTCCATCTGCTTTTGTATTTTGGGTGAAAGAACGACTGAATAATTACAATCTAATAATTATTTCCATTAGCCATAAGTATGTTCCAGAGAAAGTGAGACGTTTGAGCTGCCAATGCAGTGTGGACAAGGCACACTGGAGTTCCTAAGTGCATGCTTTGTGTTCCAAATGAACACTTGTAGGGTCAGACCCAGAGGCAGCACAGCTGCTTTCAGGCACTGGGGAGGTGAAGTAACCTGTCAGGCTCTTGTGGGTATGTGGAGAGCCAGCCTAGCACTTCATGAATCCTATTCCTATGACTGGGCACAAAGCCAGACCCTCTTCATCATGTCTGTGATTCAGCTCCTGCTGATCAGTTTGATTTGGGTCTGTCAAGAAGCACTGATGTGTCTGCCCTGTACTTCCAGAACAAGGAGCAGGCTGTGTGGCTCTAGTGTGGCACCAAGTTCTACAGTCTCCCAAATGTTGTACTGAAAAGGGTCATAGTGCAGTCTGAGTCCCAGCCTGACTTGTATCTTAGGCATCTGCAAAGTACTTCCCTGATATTTATCATCTTGAAATTCCTTATGTTGTCCTGGGTTCTGCATACAAAATTTTGTTTTAACACAGTATGCTGATGTGTCCATAAATCTAAGCAATAATAAATCAGCATTTATTAAATGCATTAAAACATTGCATTTTCAAAGAACTATACTTCATTAGCTAATTACTCTTTACAATACTCTTGTGACTAAGTTAGAACTTGTTTATTTATTTCAATAGACTTTCCTGTGAACTAACTGGGGAGTTATCCTGAGTAAATGAGGAGAACAGGAACAAGAAAAAGACAGAACACAGAATGATCCAGGAAGGAAAGGAAGTCCTTACTTGTTGTGAAACTCTCTTGCTAGGTTATTGTGTGCTGTTTTTTATTTTTTTTTATTATTAGCACTGAAGAGGAGAATTATTATGCTGCTCGTATTAATAGTTTTATTAATACATGCACTGGTTTAAAGTATGTACATCATCACATCTTTTGCAGCCCTCACAGCAGGCAAATCCCAAAAGAGCTCACATGCAGGTTTCTGTATCTTTATTCCACTACAGACTGATCACTCCTTTGAAGTCCATAGGTGTTGTCTGTGTACAACTGAACCCATTTTGGCTCCTACCACCCTAACCACACTGAATGTGGCACTGCTGTATTCTAAACATGGATCATGGACCTGTCAGTCTCCATCTTTCTCCCAAAACTTCTGTGTGATACATGAATTTGAACTATTGCTTGAGGTAGAATTTATGTACTCATTATGGACTTATACTATTTAAATTGGCTTCCATATAACAATACAAAACATGCTTAAAATCAGCTTCAGTGAAATTACTGCTGTAGTTACTTGAAACTCCTTGAAGTTTTTGGTATAATTATTGGTATAAAGAGTTTTCCACAGTAGCTCTCCCTTGCATTCTATTACTATGTAACCTTGAAAACCTAATAAGTAATTTTTTCAAGCTCTAACAACTATGATTTAGTCTTTTGGTTCATATTTTTCACAGCAAATTTCTAAATGAAGAGAATTTTTTTTCCTGGAAAACTTTAGCAAGATCTCATTGGCTGCATTTGAGTAAAAGTGAGGAAATGAATATTTGTACTGGCCAGAAAAAGCAAAGAAATAGTCAAAATATTAAATTCAAAATTATTTGCCTCATGTCCCATAATGCAAACAGTAGTTTGGACCCTACACATTTGAACACTTATTCTTACAGGCATGGGATAACTTGAAGGCTGGCTGATTTCTTGTTTTCTGTGGTTTAAGGGCTGCTTAAGAGCATGTCCCTGTAACTCCTTCCTAAACTGTGGAAAGTTAAAAGGCCAGCTGATCTTCCACATACCTCAGCTGGCAAATCTCCATTTCTCAGCAGCAATCTCCTTTGTAAGCAGCTGCCATTTTAATTTTTTGGCTGCATAATCACATCTCAGATTCTAAAAAGTCCCGTTAGCCTTCTGTTCAATAAGGAGAAATTAAACCTCAAATACATTTTTTAATAATCTTTTTTTTCATACAAGTGTATAGCTTAGGAATGGGCACTGTGAGGGAGCAGGAGGAGGTACAGGGTATAAACTAATGAAATGTGCTTTAGCATTTTATTTCTAGTATATGTTCTCACAAGGGAGTGGGCACTTGACCCCATTAACATAAGGCCAGTACTCTAAAATTATGTTTCCTAGGCTTGTTATGGTCTGAATTCTTAAGAGTCACAGGATTATCTGTATTCTGTTTGACTTGTCATGTGAGATATATAATGCTTTATTTGGTACTTTTCATCTCAAGAGAATGTGGACTGTCCTGGGGTCAGGGATTTCTAATTTCAATAGTCAGGAGCTCGTGACATTTCTGTGCAGTTTGGAGACTCTTTGGTTGACACAGGCTGATACCTGAACTACTCAAGTATTTATTCTTTGCTCTCTAAGTTACTCTGAGAAGTTTTCACTGGTGTCTTAATTAGAAAGCTACATGATTACTCATAATACAAATGCCAGAGTTAATTCTGGATGTCTTGCTCTAATTGTTCTCTAATTGGGACACTTCCGAATGAAGCATGGAAGCAGGCAAGGCTCCTGGCTCACTCTGGGCATGTCTAACTCACACAACGCACGAAGTGTTAAGTCTCTTTTAAGGGTTACTCCACAAAAAGATACCCATCTTTGAGCGGCGTCTGCCCACGGCCGAGCACGTGAGCAACATCCCCTTTTTGCCGACGCGCGCCGCGTTCCTCGGAAGCCGAAGTACCGCGAAGTACAGCGGGCTGCCGCAGGGCAGGACAGCTGCTCGGCCGAGGGCAGGCTCGCGGCACCGAGGCGGCTTTGGAGAAGCGGCGCGGCTGGATCGGCTCCGAGCGGCTCCCGGCCCCGCGCCCGCCCGCCCCGCGCCCGCAGGCCGCGCCGCTCGGCTGCCCTCTGGCGGCCGGGCCGGGCCGCGGCTCCGCTGGACGTTTTGGAACGGAAGTACAAAAGCAGGGAGTTTTATTGATTCAGCTGTCATGCACACACTGTGTTATAAATCATTCATTTGACTGAGAATTTAGAGCGCCTTACCTTTCAAGCTCTGGTTCTACTGGCTCTCAAACACTTGCATATTGACAAATGAACAGCATTGATTTTCCTCAAGTAGATTGATTGCTTAGATGCAAAAAATTATCATCCCCCCCCATAGACGATAGCAAAGGAAGAACTGCAACTTTGATCTTGATCTCACTGACTGGAAGCCTCTTCTGTTCCTCTGGCATGCACTTTTTTTTTTTTTTTTTTTTTTTTTTGAGGCAGAATGAAAGAGTTGCCTTTTGTGGCATTCTCCTCTGCTATGCCAATTTCTTAGCTGTATCCATTTAGCAAAAGGGATCTTTAGATACATTTCCTTAGATTTTTCATCATACTGTTCAGTATACCAATGTTAAAAGTTATTTCTTTTAAAGAGCTAAAGAAGCTGTGGCAGCAAGGCAACCAACTAAAAGGCAGATGTGAAATATGAAGCAGCACATGTATTAAAAAAAAATTACTTAGCACACCAAAGAAATTACAACAGAGGGTAGAGAACATAGCCCATGGAGAAATCTGAAAGGCACTGGCATATGATCACCATTTGAATGAATCATTTGTCCCCACACCGTAGAGCAGAGAGGAGTTATGAGCCTGAAGGATGGCATAAGTTTGAGTTTTACTCCTCTGTCACCTGCACGTAACCCCAAACACCCTGCTGAGATTTGTATAGCCTCCTACCCTTCTCACAAGGTACTCAAGGCAATTTGTGTTGACTGTAAGTGGAAGCTCATGGTCATAAACTGATATGATAAACTGGAAGATACTATCTAGAACCTGAAACAATTTATAGAAAATACTTAATGTGGAATTTGCAAAGAAGGGAGAACTGCTGTTCTGCATTCCTTCCTTTCACCATCAGTTTTAAAATCGTATGTACACAAGTATCACGAAAAGCCCCGCACTTTGCAGGCCGCACTAACACAACAGAAGGGTGTGGGCGTGTTTCACTGTACACGGCACTCACCTTTCTCACGCTGTGTTGTGTTCCTTCCAAGTGCCAAATTCTCGTCACAGGCTGTACTGCCCAGCTCATTTTTCACGCACATGAGAGACTTTAGCACACAGTTTCATGGGTGATGACAGCAGACTGGAGGAAGGGTCCAGGAAAAATCCTGAAATGTGGACTGCACCTTCCTTTCACTCACCCACTGTGCGTTTATTGCTGGGGGCGGGGGGACGGGACACGCAGTGCTCTGGAGCGCCGATAAAATACTCCTGAGCTGCTTATTTCAATTAAAACGCTTGTGTTGCCCCTCCAATTGAAACCAAGTCAAGGTGAAGCAAGGGGAGGGATCACTAAGCCGGTTTCAGGTGTGGGCACTGAGGAGCTCACGAAAGCCGGAGGGGGAACACCACCTTTTAGAAGGGGAGTGACTTCTTTCCTCCCCCTCCCCAGGCCGCTCCCTGCCGGCTGCGCGGGAGCAGGGCCGGGTGTCTCGGCGGCCGCAGGTCGCAGCCCGGCCGCGGGCGGACCCGTGAGGGCGGCGGGCGGACCCGCTCGGCCGCTGCGGCGGGGCCTGGGCGAGCCCATCGCGCCGCGCGCGCGGGGAGGGAGCGAGGACGGACGGACGGACCGACCGACCGGCGCGCGGGCGGGGGGAGCCGCCGCCAGCCGGGTGCGCGGCAACCTGATCCCGGTCCAACATGGTCGCCGCTCACGCCTCCCATTCCTCGTCCTCCGGCGAGTGGATCGCGTGCCTGGATAAAAGGTATCGGCATCTTCCCAGGAGCGGCTGCGGAGGGATGCTGTGTGTATGCATGTATATGTGTGTGTCTGCGCTGACAGCCCCCATCCCCGCTCTCCATCAGATCCTGCCTTACATAAGGAGCGTGCAGGTGGGAAGGAAAACGCCTAGGGAAAGCCAGCGCGGCGGGCAAGGATGAGGGCTAGAAATACTCCGAGCAGCGGAGGGGACAGGCAGTCCCCACGGGGATTGCTGCTCCCCGCCGGGAAGATGCTGCACGTGGTGGAGGAGGGGGAGCTCCGGGGCGGGGAGAGGGCCTGGGGCTGCCAGCCGGGGACCCGCCGTATCGGCCATGGCAGCCCGCCGCCTTGTGCCCTCGTCCGCCCTCACCTGCCCTCACGGCGCCCAGCGCTCCGGCCGCTGCCGCCCCTCCGCTCGGCACACCGCCCCCGCCCCCCACAGCGGCCGCAAGCCCCCGCCCAGCATCGTCGCAGGGTGCACGGGAAAGGACGGGTCCCTCTCGTCCCCGCTGCGGCGCCCCGGGGCCCGCGGTGGTTCCCCGGCTGCGGGCCAGGTGCAGGCGGGCGGCGGCACCGCGTGGGCGGGAGGCACGGCTGGCTGACGTGCGCTCAGAGGTGGTGTGCGCGCTGCCAAAAATACGGGCAAATGATTATTGTTAAAAAAGTAACGTTAAACATTCTCTGCAGTGCTTCCTCTCGGGTGCTGCAGCCCAAAGTCTCACAATGTCGAGTCGCGTGGCGGGTGGTTTGAACGCCCTTTGCTGTATTCATACCTTTGATTCTTGGATTAGCGGAACGCTCGCTGTGTCTCCTGTGGTCTAGGAATTTAGTTAACAAAAACGTAGACCATAGATACCCTATGCAGCTCAAAAGAGAGCTATCAGAGATAATTCCCTTATGTGGTGCATGGCAGTTAGCTGAGCATCGTGAGCCAGCTTTTGACAGGCGGCATCATTTGGGGCTGTGCTGTGGAGAGAACCCTTTGTGCACATAGAGGGGACCTTCCCCTGCTCATAGTTTCTCCCCTTTTCAGGTGACTCTTAGTCTTGTGGGACTGCGTTTATGATTAGGTTTTCCTTAACATTCCAGGTAGCAAACAGTAAGTTAACGGAACTTTTGGGCTAGATGCTCTAGACACCTACCACAGACACTGATCGTCCTCTGTAACATGTGACTTAAGACTAACCTCTTAGAGATTAAATAATATGTATAAATGTTGAAAGCACTCATAAAGTAAACATAAACAGAACTGCTGGTGGTAATCTAACTATCTAAGAACCAAAGTGAGGCCTCTGTAAACTGTCGTTGAGCGGATGTGAAGGACAGTATGAGTCCCAGTACTTTTAGATTGGTGATCCTTTCCTTTCTGTTTTCCTACATACAGTACACTGTGAGATCCAAATAGTAAGCTAAAATTTGGGGTTTAATGAAGTACATAGCCTTGGGGAGTAGACGATGTATTTAGGAAACATGTGTGGCATTTAATTTAGAAATCTCTCTGTCATAATTAATAAGCTGACCCTTTCTGTAATGCAAATTTCAGTAGAGCTATCAAGGTGAAACTTTCACTTTTTGTTACTTGGAGTAAGCTAGTAGCACCAATTTATGGAGTGGAAAGAATCAGTTCCAAGTGCTCTTAGGAATTATGCCTTACCCTTTCCCAGAAGGCAGCCTATATGTAGGACATACCCATAACAGGAAAGATTGTAGGTTTTTTCCTGGTCTCTGCTGTGCTCTGCTTTGTGATCATAGGAAGTACACTTAGGCATATTATTCTGTTTTTCCACCTAAAAATATAGATAAAGTTTTTAATTAACTTACACACTTGTGCTTCTAAAGCATATTTGTTTTCTATAGATAATCTAACCAGTGTTGTAATTTGAATTATTATCAATGTCTATGTATTTTAAGCTTTTAAAAAATTGTATAGCATTTTATATCCCAAGTGTGAATTCTGTGAATATGGGATCGTTTAATGAGTAAATTATCTATAGAGACTTTAGCATGTGTTTTTACTAAATAATAGAGTTTTAATATATTTAAGCCAATGAATATATTTCCAGGAGGAAAACGGTTCTAAAACTGGTATGCTTTAGAATGTTAAGTGACCCTCAACAAAGACAATTAAAATAACATGTATTATGGATTATGCAATATAATTATGTGGGAAAACATTCAGAATGGAAATAGCAAAATACATAATATATAGAAATTATGTATTTTGTATTTGTTCTTCAGGTTTTTCCCCAAATCATGTTTCAAAGTGGAACTACTAACATTTAAAATTAGAGCTCATATAAAATTGAAGAACTCCCAAAATGTTGCAGCAGAAATGTTATTACTGTGTAGGGTACTTGTGGGCTACCAGTGCTTTGTCCATGTGTAGTTGTCCAGATTCCATGTGTAGTTACTGGCCGCAAAAGTCAAAGATCCACACTTAAAAATCAAATACATGGGACAGTATTCACACATAAAGTTACAAGTGTAAAGGTAAAGAAAATTTCAGAACAATGTGCTCTGTCAAGAATATTTAATTTTTGCAGGAGAGAGAGAGAATCAGCAGTGAGCAACTGTACATCCTGGTTATACCTGGAGATATGAATAATTTTTCTCTTGAGGAAACCAGTCCTTTTACATTTGAAGTAATAGTTGCTTTTCCACTGATTTCTTAGTGAGCAGAAGTATCCCTCCAATCTTAGCACTTTTCTGTATGTCTGCTCAGCACATAATTAAAAAAGGGTCACTGACTTATGCATGTGTGTACAGTTAACTTAGGAAGAATGTCTTCTCTATTCTCATGTGTTCTTTCACACTAAAAACCATCTGACCAGGAAATTTCCATATTGACGGTATCTTTACTGAATGGTAGACAAAGTATTTTTTACATAACTATTACTTCTCTAAATCTGGTCATATTTATTAATTCAGTTACTAGTTTTAATTTGATTCAGATGCAAGCTTTTAGGGATGTACAGCATGCACAGCTGCTAGAGATCCCAGGATTTCATACCTGGCTATGGCATCTGGTGTTTTTCTCTGAATTAAATGTAACCTTCAGTGCCTTAACAGACTGGAGGAGTGTATCACAGGGCAAAGCATGTAACTGCACTGTCCTGTTGTGTTAAGAATGTTACGGTCTTTGCCTAATGACTTATAAATTATTTAGGTAGGAATAGGCTTTTCAAAGACATGTGGCACATACTGACCCTTTATAACCTTGTTGTCCTTGTTAGTCTTGCATTATTTATGTTTAAAAAATCTGAAATAATGCATACTGGGTAGTATCTCAGACCTGTTCCTCCCACAGATTTGAATGTAAATTCAGATTGAAGCTACATAGTAGCAACATATTTGAATCAGGATTTGGTTTTTTTTAGTTCAGTGTAACATGTATTTGAGATGCAAGCTTTGTTTGCTTAGTAGTAAACAAGGGATCCCTTGTGAACACACAGATAGGTTAGAATAAAGAATTGATATTTGGAGAGAACTGTTGTAGGATAAATAGAGAAAATGCTTGTCATCCTCTATAACCTTTAATTATGTCAAAGATAATGGGATATAAATTTATAATCAGGCAATATTATGAATAGAGTTGCATTATGATGGTATTTTATTTAAAAGCATATTTTTGTGCAATTGGTAAAACGTACACTGTCTTCTATATAAATTCCTCCCTTGCTTCTTATTTGTAACAAATCCATAGGAATATCCCCACTTTCATGTAGTTTGCATCTGAACAAAATCACGGGTAGACACTGCAGTTCCGGTTGGCTTGTGTGCTTCGTGTTTTCCCTCTGTGTGCTGTGTGACTAAGCTGGTATATGCTTGGATCAAGCCTGTGTGGGGATATAGCAGCAGAAGGCACTGCAGTGGATGTGGAAACTCAGAGCTGTACAGACATAGCCAGAGTGCTTTCTAGCACTCCTGTGAGGCTGCAGTCTTCTGAGAGCGATGAATAACAGATTTATCTTTCCACATCATTCACCTCATTTTCTAGTTCAGTGCAAAGGTGCAGTCTTTGATGAATAATAAAAAAGTATTTTCCTTTCCATGTTTTCTTAGAAAAACCAAAATAATTGTTTGTAGGTCTGTGCATTTCATCAAATTTTGTGAATTCAGATTAAATCGTAGTGAGAGCTGGAGTTGTATTTTAAACAAGCTTTTTTATTTTAGCTCTCTTGTTTACACATTTGCAGTATCGGCTTCCATTTGTTACATGTGACCGTGGTAAGTTACACACTTGTGCCATGGACAGGTATTTAGAGGAAGAGAAAGTGATTACCCGAGCATGTGTAAACATTGTCACAGCCCACCAGAGCAAGGCAGTATGTGCACGTGCCTGATAGGACATGATACATTCAAATTTAGTTGGTAGTCTTGTGGAGTGGCTGCACGATTAGTATGCTATGTGTGCATCTGTAGGTTTTCTCTTTCACCAGATGATACTGGAAACATGTTTAAACTCTCGTTACCTGAGTTCTTTCTGACATGTTGTTAGGATTTCGTCTCTAAAATCCTGTACTCTGAGCAGATAAAATTTATTTTATAACAAAATGCCATATTCCAGCAAAGGAATAAAAAAACCCAACAAACCAGCTAATTGAAATTGTGCCCTCAAAGTCAGGTGTTCACCAGATATTTTCCAAATACAAGTATTTTTCTTATCTAGCGTGACATCTGTTTTTGTCTGCATCTTACAGTTTGCTGCATTTAACAAAGCTTATCAATCTAATGATACTTCTTTTGTGCTGTATTTTCTGCTCTGTATTTGGCATGATCAGTTAGTGTTTCTGCTGCTTTATCAATATCCGTGAATGTTTCCTGAACTGACTTTCCCTTTCATCTTTGAATTGTCAGTTGTCAAAATGCATGCAAATGTAAATCTGTAAAACTTATTTAATTGTTGCTGTAAATTTTAAATTTTCACTAGCTGTTACAATGCAGATCCTAAATCAGGAAAGGAGCATTTAGCATGGTGTTATTGGTGAATACTGGTGGCCAGAG